CCATAATCACATCAGACTTGATATTGTATTCGCGATGAAATTTTTAGCAACATTTAGCGTTCATCTTATAATAAAATATTTGAATAGTGTCTAACACATCCTCTAGTATTTTTGAGTTATAAAGAGTTTGGTATTTATGCAAGAAACCAAGATATGGTTCTGATGGGGTACTCAGATACTAACTATTTTTTATTAATCTCCATTATGTCAAGTTCTAAATTGGTTATGCTATGAATTATCCCTAATGTCCTAAATGAGGATAATAAAACTTGATAAAGAAAATTTGAGATCTTGAATATTTCTTGATAAAGAAAATTTGTTTTGTTTTTGTCCAAGACTTCTCTATTACATTTTTTACAAGAAAAGCATTTTCTACTTTTATCATGAGACAAAAATAATTTTATAATTAATTCTTCTTTTATTAACTTCCTAGATTTTTTCAATAATATTTAACTCCACTTTGAAGAGAGAAATTAATTTATTTTTTTAAATCTTCATGTATTGCCAACATAAAATTAGTACGAACAAATCATACATACAGTATGTTAGAATATTTTGTGAAACTAGCTACCAAATCATTTTAACACATAGTCTGTTAGTAAATATGTTCAAAATATTTTAAAATAATTTCCACAAACTTCTTTCAAACAAAATTAATTTTAAACTTCTATGACAATTTTCAAGATCTCACCAAAGACACATTATATTGATGGTGTTTGGTAAATAGTTGTTAGCTAATTGGATTTATAGATTTGACTAGTTGATATTAGCTTATTGCGAAAATATTTGGTAAATTAGTTGTTAGCCGTTAACTGATTATATACAAAATGACTTTCTCAAAAAATTTATCAAAAAAGTTACTTTGAACAACTTTTTGAATTTTAGCATTTCATTTTGGAGCAATAAGTTGTTACAAAAAAAATAATTAATTAAACACTCATATTGAGTGTTTAACCAAATCAAATAGTTAATAGTGATCAAATAAGTCAAAATTGACATATAAACTAACTATTTTACCAAATAGGCCATTATATATATTGAATATTGATACGTTTGAAACATTTTTTATATTTTTAGACACACACACAATATATATATATATATATATATATATATATATATATATATATATATATATATATATATATATATATATTTATTTATTTATTTATTTATTTATTATTATTATTATTATTATTTTTTGAATCCGGTGCACACCCCCTAGTCAGCCGAGCCCGTGAACACACTCCCTGATCGTTGATTTTAATTTGTTGACGATTCAAATTGATTACCACTTGGATCCCATGTTATACTGATTTTAGATGAAACATGGGTCTTTTTGTCCTTAAGCATTATATTTATTACTTTCCATTTCATTTATTTACATGTTTATAAAGATTTGTAGCGTTATTTCAGCTCTCCTTAATCAATATTTCTCTCTCAGTGATTTTCTTTGGATTTTTACGGCGGTGTGTGCGTGGGTGTGGAATGGTGTGTGCATTTTACTGTAACAGGGCTCGTACACCATGGTGTGCTGCGTTTTTTCATAAAATTATGCATTTTGGTATGTGCGTTTCGTGATACAGGAATGTACATTTTGGTTTGTGTGTTACTAGTTTCGGGCGTGTGCGAAACGTATCCAAAAGAAAACAAAAATATACGAATCTAATTTGGGTATCGGCGTTTGAATTTTGAGTAGATAATCAGTGCATAGTAGATATAGTATTGGGCTTGTTGTATTTTTTTTTTTTTTAAAAAAAATTGTGGGAAATTTTACGATGGTGTGTGCGGGTGTGGAATGACGTGTGCGGTTTTCTGTAACAGGAGGTGTACACCATGACAAACAATAAAACGCACACACCATTACACACCCACGTACACACCGCCGTAAAATTTCCCATATTTTAAAATTTCAGATGTACAAAATATAATTAATTATTACCATTGATAGGGTACATAATAATTTAAAATATCAATTTCCATTCATAATCTCCCTAATATAATGCTTAAGATTCCAATTGAATTATATCCATAATAAAACATATATCTACAATTACTATTTAATCATTTTGATTAAAATATATCATTAATTACTTTCACAATCTCTTATAATCTCAACCATTTATGGAAAATGAATCAATGGATATCATGAGATCTCTCATCTAGTGTAGGGGGCAAATTATATCGTGCACCACGGTGCATGATCAAGCGGGCCTTTTTTTTTTTTTTTTAAATGAAAATAAACAGTGTTTGTTTTCCGCCGTTTCGCACCCTTTTGCAAAAAGTAACCCTGTTCTTCAGAATCATTTTGTATACACTGCAGTGTCAGTTCAACACAACTACAGTTTCATTTTGATATAACTATAGTTTCATTCGATATTTATAAATTCAAATATGTGAAAATGTTATTTAATTTTATTTTATATACACTATAGTTTCATTAAAACACAACTACATGATCATTTTGATATAATTACAGCTTCATTGTACAATATACACTCAAATATGTGAAATGTTATTCAGTTTCATTTTATATACACTGCAGTTTCATTTCACTATAACTACAGTATCATTTTGATATAACTGCAGTGTCGGTTTAGATATACTGTAGTGTCAGTTGATGTTTAATACACCAAACAAGCGGACTCCGTTAACTATAACAGCGGGCCGTTTCTTTACTTAAAGAAACGACGTCGTTTTTTACCGCGGTGCACATGCACCGCGGTCTATGATATAACGACTGAGTGTAGGGGTTGCACCAGATTCGAAGCCTATATATATATATATATATATATATATATATATATATATATATATATATATATATATATATATATATATATATATATACTATACTAATAAGAGCCCAAGAGAGTTAGGCCTATAATGGGTAGAAAAAATGGCGGTCACAGATTTTAATCAAATGAATGGCTCAGATTGATTAAAAGATTGATCAGATTTAAATTTTATACTAAAATTTCCTAAAATACCCACACATCGTTACTAATTCCGTTAAAATTTTAAGAATTGCCGTTAGTTCACCGTTAACTTACTCATTGATTTCAATAAAAAAAAAAAGGTCTTAGGTTCGAACCTCATCCCAATCAAAGTTGGCATAATTAGTACTCTATTTTACTCTTATTAAATTATATAAATAATAATTTAGTAGTTACAACAAAAAATAATACATATGCATTTCTTTAATTTAGAATTATGTGTTCACAATGTCTTTATTCAAAAAAAAAAATTATTCATTATCAATAAATTAAATAAGATAAATAATTTTATTAGTTATATTATCTTTATTTTTTTTCAATATAAAAATTCTTTATATTCAAATTTATTAATTGATTATATTCGCTACATTGTCCTTACAATGTCTTTATTCAGTGAAAAACAAATTATTAATTATCAATAAATTAATTAAAAGAAATATTTTCATTAGTTATATTGTCTTTATTTTTCTCAAATGTAAAAATTTTTACATTCAGATCAAATTCATCAATTGATTATATTCACTACATTATCTATTATCTTTTTTGTGCACTATTTTTCTAATTAAATATCAAAGGCATAACATAAAATAATGCTATATATTTATTTACCAAGTATTTTATTAATACCATGAAAAAATTAAAAAAAATATAATTAATAAAGCCAACCATATTAACTACTTGAGAGATTTTGTGACAAAGAGAGTATTCAAATCACACAACAAATTAAAGTGAGAACTACCTCGCAATGTCCTTGTTTGGCAATCAGCAGTTAGCGGTTAACGTTAGCGGATTATACAAGCGGATTTGACCAGCGAATTTATTTAATTATTAACATTGGGTAGAAAAAATGACCGCCAAATTATTAAATCAAATGAATGGTTCATATTGTTCAGGTTTTAATTTTTTTCTTTTAAGATTTTCTAATTTATCCTTAATTATATGATTATCCATTTAACTTTTCCGTTAATTCACCGTTAGTTTAATTCTAATATTAAAGTCTAATATAAAATTATAACTACATCATTAATCTAATTCTAATATTAATGTCTTCATCCTAATGTCGACTCAAACAATATTAGTATATATTTCATATTTTATGCCCTAATTTTTATTTGTTCTCCCTTATGTCCCGTATTTGGTTTCAACCATGCCTATACAATTATTTTATTGACAATTATAATCAATATTGACTATATTATCTTGCATTTGTAAACTTAGAATTACCTATTTAACCCGCACGGGCTTAGCTCAATGGTTTAGTGGGTAGTATTTGGGAGAAGAGACCAAGGTTTGAACTTCGGCGCCGACAATGCGGGAATTATGTCCAAAGTGGGCAGATTCCTTGTGCGTACCAGCATTTGGCCCTGTCTGCTGAACCATTGAGTCACCGTGATTTACAACTTCCCACAATGCTCTGTCGGGTCGGAGTGTGGGGGGGCCCTTGGGGTTGGGGACTCAACCTTTGGGGGAAGAATTACCTATTTAAATATGCAAATTCAACCTTCAATTATCTATGCATGAACAATTTCAATATAATCTTGCCTTAATATACTTTAAAGTACTTATTTAAAAAAAAGCATTGGGCATTATCCGAATCGCGCAATGCGCGTAAAAAACTAGTATATATATATATATATATATATATATATATATATATATATATATATATATATATATATATATATATATATATATATATATATATATATATAGGGAAGGGATCAGGTGCATTTGTTGCTTCCCGTGCGGATGTGCGGTGGATTAATGTGCGTGGGGTTTATACTTAATGTGCGTGAGATTTGTACTCAATGTGCCTGAGAATTGTACTTAATGTGCGTCATGTTAATATGCGTGAGTTTTGTACTTAATGTGCCTGAGTATTGTGTTTAATGTGCGTGCGTATTTCAGAATTACGAGCTCAGAAGGAAGCAGAACAGAAACTCACGTACATTAACGCCCAAGCTTCTTGTTACTTCTTCCTTCAATTTGGCCATGGATTCTGGATTATCAGCTACCTTCAGTGCAGTTGAATGTTTATATAAATGACGCACGCACAGTAACATTTGCACAGCAGCTAAGTGTGGATTTCTGTTGTATTATTCCCATAATTTTTAACCACCATAGCTCGCCTCCGCATCATCATCATCAAGGAGGGGGCAAATGGCTACTGGGGATGGGGAAGAAGCTGAAATCAATATTTTCTGCTGCATTTTACACATTCACGCACATTAAGTACAAATCTCAGGCACATTAAGCACAACACTCACGTACATTGAGTACAAATCTCACGCACATTAATCCACCGTACATCCGCACAGGAACCTTTCACTATATATATATATATATATATATATATATATATATATATATATATATATATATATATGTCACCTCAAAAAGGCAAAAATTACATCTCAAATTATTTAAAATTAAGTTTATATATGGGATATATTTAAAGGATTAAAAGTATTTTTTTTCCTCTATAATAAATAATAGCATGGTAGCCATTGGTATGATGTTTATCTTGTACGACATTTATAAATTTTCTTAATTAATAATAAGAAAAAGTCAATGTTTTAGTCCTTTAATTGTTTTGTAACTGTCAATTTAGTTCATAATTTTTAATTTGGTCAAATTGATCATTCAATTATTTTAAATTTCATCAATTAAGTCCCCTAACTATTATTTTGTCAGTCAGCCATTAATTATCGAAACAGTAACTAGAAGATTTAATTGACGAAATTTAAAATTCAAAATAATTGGAAGATCAACTCGACTAAATTGAAAATCAAGAACTAAATTATCAATTACAAAATAATTAATGAACTAAAATAGCGATTTTTCCCTAATAATATTGTATTATAAAAACTTGACGGTATATAAATATCTAAAACCTGAATCCGGCCAGTTAGTGTGGGGTGGATCAAACAATTCAAGTGTCTCGAAAACTAGCAAATCTTGGCGTGAATATATAAATGCTGTATGGTACATCTCAACCGTCATATTGTCTCCCTTTTAACACATTTGTTTATGCATTACTCCATTCTGAGCACTATACATAAATACGACGATGTTTCAGCGGCGAAAATACCGTATGTAGTATCTCTTACCTTTCACGTCATCTCATCATTCTTCATATATATTAACCAATATAGCAATTCACCAATAATAATAATATTAATAATAAGGTCAAATATATCATCAAACTATCTACGAAATTGCAATTGGACTGTTGAACTCAAAAAAAAAAAAAAATACAATTGAGTCTCTGACAGTACGTGTTGCAAAAATCACGCCTAGGCGCTAGGCGGTCGGCCTCCTAGGCGCTTGCCTAGGTGCTATAGGCGGTCCCCAGGCGTCTAGTGGGCGCCTAGCGATTTTTTTAATATTGGTATCTGAATAACGCAAAATCATGCAATTGGACAAAAAATAACTTGTTTATCTATTGATGGCTGACGTGGCAATTACCAGATTAAAAAATAAATTTTTTAAATTTATTTAAAAAAAAAACAAACAACTCCGGCAATCTGGAGATGAAGAAATCTCTCCGTTCCCCGGGCTGCTAGAGACAAAGAGGTCTCTTATTGTTATATGTACTTATTGTATCCACAATCCACCACCATTATATTGTTGTGTCATAAATATTGTCAACGAGTATGCATGATTGCATGTTATAGTTTCATACTTTTTCTCCATGCAATTGCAACCGACCAACTGAAAAACGAATACTACACGGGAACAGAGCTAATTAAAGTCAACGGCAGCGACTTTACCGGGATTGTATGCTGCTTTTTGAAAAATTTTACATTTTTGATTTAGTCAATGATTGATGGTGTAGTAGTTCATCAAATCCCTCATCATGAACCTTCTTAACTTCCAGCTTGTTGCCCAGATCTAGTATGTATAGCAAAAGTTGATGTGGTCAAACAAACATTCACCAATCACCACATTTTATTTCTCATCAATGTGAATCACCCAATGGTAGTATGTAGATACCAAACTTTTACATAATATAAATTAATATCAATGTGAAGTAATTTGATTTTAATTTAATATAAGGATGAGATCGATTCAAATTTAGATCTATTACTTGAAAATAAAGTAGTGTAACTACTATGAATATATTCATTCATTGAAATTGAGCTAATTTTAATTTCAATTTCTCAATTATTATTATTATTTTGGGAAAATGGCACTTTTTCCCCCTAAGTTATATACTTATAGCACTTTTTCCCCTTGAATTATTCATGTGAGCACATTAGCCCCCTCAATTATTTTAAAAGTGGCGGTTTTTCCCCCTAATATATTTTATTGACATTTCTACCCTTAAAGTAAACATTTTATTTATTTTTCCTTTTTAATAAATTATTGCGTATACATAGGGATGACCACGGTTCGATTCGAATTGAACCAGACACTATAGCAATCGAATTAAAAGTTTCCGGTTATGATTCAGATCCAGAACCCAATATTTTAATTTCAATTCATTAAAATTATGAATCGAAAAAACTGGATCCTGAACCGTGATCCGGCGCGCGGTTCTAGATCCGGTTAGCGATTTTGAACCGTCTTTATTTTTAAAATTTTAATTTTTTATTTTAAAATAGTCTAAATTCAACAATAAATGTATTTTATTTTTTTTTCAGTTTGGACCATGAACCGGCCGTCCTGGTTCACGATTTTAATAAAATCTAAATATCGGGTTTCGATTCTAAATTGTAATTAGAATATTTCAGTTTGATTTATATAGTGTCTGTTTGGTTTGAACCAACTTGTGGTCATAATTTGTTAGAGAAAAAAATAAATGAAATATTTATTTTAAGGATAAATATGTCCATTTAACATTTCAGGGGGAAAAACAGCCACTTGAATAATTCAGGGGGGAAAAGTGCTATATGTATATAACTAAGGGGGGAAAAGTGCCATTTTCCCTATTATTTTTTTGGTTCAATATGCAAGAATGTCAAAAAGGGACTCAAAGAACGCATCTACTTCACTCTTTGCACTACAACTCCTAAAGTGGTCAGTCCGTATGAAATCGCTTATCTCGACTGGCAAATTCTGTAGTCTTCGACTTAAAAATCGACTAGATTTGATGTCTAGTTTTGAAAATTTACCAATTTTAGTCCTGTGATAATGAACAAATTAGTAATTTTTTTTTTTTTTTGGATAACATAAGTTTTCTGACTTTGCTAAACTATATCTCGGACCCCATGAACCCGCTTACAAGTCCAATTATATACTACTTCTACTCACAAAAAAACCTTCAAACCCAAATCTTCAATATCTGTGACATGAATCAAACCTCCACTCTATCACGGGAAGCGAACAATTCATAAGTTAAACTTCTTATTCACTAAACCAATGCCACGGGCATCAAATTAGTACTTCACCATGAATAAAAGTGACAAATTTATAAACATCTGATACAAAATGTGATCAATTTTGAAGTTAAGTAAAGAAAAGAAACAAATGTAATAACCGAAAAATTAAATTTAAATTTTAATATTAACTCTCGAAAACCAATTAGTTACATTGTAGAGCTATATAAACAAACCAGCAAATACCAATTTTGATTTCACGAGTATTAGCAAAATGACAGTTTTAGTCCACATGTTTAATTTCTAACAATTTTAATCCACGACTATTGTTTTTAATTTGTACCAATTCTCATTCATGCCTATTATTTTAGTGTCAAAATTTATCACGCCGATCACTTATTTGTTTAAGACATGCCAAAATATGAAATTATTACGGATATTTTCGTCATTTTTAAATTAAGATTCTAATTTGAGCATGAATAAAGAGATTTAAGCCTTAAGATATATCCCGATTCGCAATTTTCCTCCTCAAATTAAGGTAGAATGAGGAGAACTGTGAATTGGAATTAATCTTAAGGCTTAAATCTTATTCATGCTCAAATTGGAATCTTAAGTTGAAAATGATGAAAATGCTCTTAAATTTCATGTCTTAAATGAAGGGGCTACCGGCGCGATGAATTTTGGTACTAAAATAATAGTCATAGATGAAATTGGTACTAAAATAATAGCGGTGGATGAAAATTGGTAGAAATTAAATATGTGAACCAGAATCGTCATTTTGCTAATACTTGTGGAATCAAAATTGATATTTGCTCATAAATAAACATATGGGTCTTTCATGTACTATTTAATTCCATCCATATATCTTGTGCTAGTGTACGTTATACAACTTCAACTTTCATATACAATATTCTTGTGTACAATCATAATGTAATATAATTAACACACAATGATTAATTGTTGATTTTTTGTGTCTTTGCATTCAAGAAAATGTGAATTAAATATGACTTTTTATTTAAAGTCTTTAATTTGCTAAGAGGCTAAAGTTTTTGGCATGAATGTTGATGATTGTACATATGTGTACGACGTCGTCCAATCTCCCTTAGCGATTGGCCCAAAGTGTATTAAATTAAATTCCCATAAAGTTGATTATTTTAATGTCAAACGTCAAACGGTTAAAAACCAGTTGTCAAATTGAGTTATGGTTTGTTTTCATTTCGTCGTTATCAAACCGCTCATTCCGCGTAATCAGCTGGTCCTCTGGAGTAAATATAAAATAGACATGTGCACTCTCCCTAGTACACACTTATAGGTAACAACGTAACGTTGACTATACTCGGTATCATAATTTAAAAAACAATAAATTTACCTGATAATCCCAGATTCTCAATTGAATTGATTGGCTCATCGGCATTTGGCATTGTCTACTGTCTACTGAACTATTGAGTCACTGTGATTTACATCCTCCCAAATGCTCTGTCGGGTCGGAGTGTGGATGGCGGCCCTTAGGGTTGGGGATTCAACCTTTTGGGAGAAGATGAAGATTGAAACTTAAACGAGGATAATTCTAACCAAGTTGGTCAGACTTGTTAACTTAATTGGTAATGGTAATCATCACAATAATATTTTAAGTTTGACTCTCAGTGAGAGTGTGTGACCTATTTGGCCTGATTGTTGGTTTGAGCTTATCATCTATGGACAACATAATAATAAATTACTTTACCTCATTGTGATCGTTTGTCAAATATAGTCATAAGACGGAATTTACCTAATGTATACCTTGTACACTCTAGAGTAGTGACCGAAGGTTTTTCAAGTCACTAAAAAGATTCAAACTTGTATATGTTAGGAAAGAAGATACTCCGTAATTTATTAACCCGTTTGTGTATGAAAACTCGACCCCCAATTTTAGGTCACATTTTGTATATGAGATATTGCTAAATGGATATTTTTGGTAGTATGAAATGATTGTAAAGTTTGTTATGTGCAGATACACAAAATGTTATACTGTTAATTACATGACATTGTGATGGTTTTGTTGGAACCGGATTTACCATAAAATCGGGTATAAAGGTACATAACGGGGGTAGAAAAATAGTAGATTTATTACCCGAGGCGCTAGCCCCAAAATAGTACATACAAAACCTAAATATTATTCTCCTAAAACGGCGGCCCAAAGAATACATAAATAATAAATACTATAGCCCTAATGAATGAAATATGGCCCAAAATGACAGCCCGAATAATAAATAATACAAGCTATAACACTAATAATGAAATAAAAATAACACCCTGGTGTGTTACAATCGTTATGTTATGGACCCGTGACCAGCATGCATGCTGGACACAGTAACAGTGCCGTTAGTGGCACCGTTCTCTTCAACTTTTTTTTTTTTTGTTTTTTTCTTTTTTAATTTCAGACCACTTTGTTATAGGAGTATATGTTCATAATTTTATCACTATATGTTCATAATTGTAAGTTCATAATGTCAGAGCTCTGTGTTCATAATTGCATAAATGTACATTCATAATTGCATAACTGTACATTCATAATTCTGTAACTGTACATTCATAATTCAATAACTGTAAATTCATAATTTTCAAAACTCTATGTTCACAATTTTAGAGCTCTATGTTCATAATTTTATCACTATATGTTCATAATGTCATAGCTCTGTGTTCATAATTCCATAACTTACATTCATAATTTCATAACTGTACATTCATAATTGCATAACTGTACATTCAAAATTCCATAAGTGTACATTCATAATGCCACAAACGAATAACACCATTAACGCCCTTAACGGCGAGACAAAATCAATTTTTTTTTTTTTAACTGGAAGGCCGCGTTTTCCCTTAAAACGACGTCGTTTTGCACTCGTGTCCACAATGCATTGTGGACACGAGTCCACATCATAATTTGCGGGTGTGTTAAGTGTTAATAGAAGGGAGAAGACTTGGACCGATGGACCAGAAGGGGTTTGGTGAGCCCAGGGATGGTTTTTAAGGGTAGGGAAGACACCTTATTTATATTGTTGAAGGACTCACGGATGGTTGACAAATGGATGGCATCAGGCAACATTAGCTTCATTCTTGGCCACACACGTGTACCCCACTACTTTGCTTCCAGTGCACTCCCATGCATAAGTGGAGCTTCATGTCCTTTAGTACACAAGACCTTTTGTGGTTTGGTGGTTTGGAACATGTTTGTTATGCTTGAGGTTGTGGGTTCAAACTCTATGATACCACATCTTTATGTTATTTTGCTCTAAACTTCCTTCTTCACCTAACAAATTATATCGTGCACCGCGATGCATTATCGATTATGCACCGAGCTTCAAAATGACGTCGTTTTGTTTAATGAAAAGAAAAACGGCACCTGTTTCGCGCCTTTCCACAAAAAGTAATTTGTTATTCAGTTTCATTTTGTATACACTGTAGTTTCAGTTCAACACATACAACTACAGTTTCATTTCGATATAACTACAGTTTCATTCGATATTTATACACTCAAATATGTGAAAATGTCATTTAATTTTATTTTATATACACTATAGTTTCATTAAAACACAACTACATGATCATTTCGATATAACTACAGCTTCATTTTATAATGGAATAAGGGTCAAATACACCATCGAACTGCACACAATAAAACAATTAAGCCACTGAACCTAAAAAAACCAACAATTAGGTCCCTAAACCAATCAATTTCAAACAATTATTCCAATTTGAAAGTTTCCAACAGGTCATCTCCCAAATTAATTATTTTTTTTTAAAAAATAAATTTTAAAAATTAATTAGTTTTAAATTAAACTAAAAAAAAAAAAAAAAAAAAAAGAATCCAGCCGGAGACTGTACCAGTTTTTTTTTTTTTTTTTAGTTTTTTTTAGTTTAATTTAAAACTAATTAATTTTTAAAATTTAAATTGTAAAAAATAATTAATTTGGAAAGATGACCTGTTGACCTGTTGAAAACCTTCAAATTGAAAAAATTGATTGAAATTGATTAGTTTAGGGACCTAATTGTTGGTTTTTTAAGTTCAGTGGCCTAATTGTTTTATCGGGTGCAGTTCGATGGCCTATTTGACCCTTATTCCTTTTATAATATACACTCAAATATGTGAAATGTTATTCAGTTTCATTTTATATACACTGCAGTTTCATTTCACCACAACTACAATATTATTTTTGATATAACTGCAGTTTCATTTGATAATATATAAAATAATACGTAAGGCAGTGTCGGTTTAGATACACTGTAGTATCAGTTTAGATACACTGTAATTTCAGTTGGTAATTAACACACCAAAAAATGTGCGCTCCGTTAACAGTAACGGCGCGCCGTTTCTTTACTTAAAGAAACAACACCGTTTTGATCGTGATGCACGTGCACCGCGATCCACAGTATAACAAATGTCTTCACCCCCATTGAGCCAATACTTATCCAATAAAATGGACCCATGCCCCATCACATTGTATTACTAATTTTTTTTTTTATATATAGATTATGGTATTGTTAATTGTTTGCCTAACTTAGAGGGGGATACTTGTACTGTTTTTAAGTTAGGTGACTATACAACAAGATTTGTAGGTATGAATTTGCACAATATATATATATATATATATATATATATATATGTGTGTGTGTGTGTGTGTGTGTGTGTGGTCATTTTCCTTTTGTGGTAGAGAGGGGATATGGTAAAACGGCGTGCAGAGAGTATATTTTTCAAATAGCTATAAACAATAATTTTCAAACAAAACCAGAAATGGATTAGTAGGCGGTCACCAACAATCTAACCTACCATAATGTTGATAACCAAATATATGTATGTATAGTAGCTACTACTCTACTAGCTTCATGTCTATGCCAAGCACTTGTGCGTACTTTTTCCTTTGACAAATTTACAGACAGAACAAAAGTAAATAAATAAATAAATAAATGAAAATTTAATTTCTCCAAATTAAAATTGAAAAAATAAAAATCTTGCAGCTTAATTAGCATTTAATGGTGGCGGTATGGCAAACGAGTGACGACCAAATCCAATATATGTTTAGTCAACTCTTCCGGCCCCGTCGCACTCTCCTCTCCCATGCCCAAAACTTTCCAGCTTGCCGTGTTTGCTGCTTTGTTCCATGAACGTAACATGCTATTCACCACTTTATAGCATAATTTTTTGTTAAAATTTATCAAGTATACTATATTATCTAGTTTTGTAATAATATCTTTTTTTTTAAAAATAGTATTAAATAAGTCATTTAACTTATACTTCTTGCCCATCTGGATTACTACATATAAAATGCGTGCAATTGAATCATTAAATAAGTAAAATAAGTGCAATTGCTATATTTTCCTGATTTTTAATGCAATTTGAGTTGAAAATATTTGAATATTTTAGCATAACGACATCCTTTATATAATAAAGCTATATGGTTTGGGAAATAATTAATGTTACAATTAATGTCACAACATCCTTTATTATATAAAAAAAAAAAGCACAACATTTAAAAAATAAAATAGCTATATATTATATAATCATATAAAAAATATACTTTTGAAAAATAAAATAGATATATATTATATAATCATATAAAAAATGTGTTCAATTAGAGTTTAAATTTACACATACAAAATTTGAAATTTGCTTTCCAAATGTAATTATCTTAGTTATTATTCGTATTGTGAAAATTATAATATAGATGAAATACAATTAAGAATAAATCAATGTAATTATGTAAATTCTCTCTATAAGTTTATTTGAATATGCACATAATTTTTTCCCCGTCGGGTTAATTACTAGTAATAGGAAAAAGACAACTCTTAGTACAAAAAAATGACCAATTACATATATTTTACTTATTTAATATATATTTCGATTGCACTTGTTTTGAGTTTAGTACATTTTGCAAAAACACAATAAATTTAATGGTATATTTGATATTATTTTTCCTAACATTTTTAACAATTACAAAAAACTTATAATCTTGTATAAAACACCTATTTTCAAAGTAAAAAGTGAAAAGAGTATTTTGTAATATTTTAATATGTTAAAGTGCTAGGATGTACACTACTACCTATTTAAAAAATTTTCTTTAATATTGGCTTGCACGAATAATTAAGGTAGACATTTTGATTTGATTTATCTGAATAAAATCGAACCGGACTAAACAGAGTGGTTCGATTTTAGTATAAACTTAATAGCTTAAATCGAATGGTTTCATTTTTTCAAAATCGAAAATCAAAATGTCCACCCCTACAAATGCTAAACCTTATATTCGGTACCAAAAAAATAGATAGAATATTTATTGTACTTGATACAAGTGATATGATAAATTTTTTCCTTTTAGGAACACACTAATTTTAAGTACGGTGGTATTGTAGCATTATATTATATTTTCTTGATACATTGAGCACTAAGCTAAGTAACATTATGCACAATATAGACATATAGTAGTAAAAGTCGTGGTCAATATAATCGTCATCTTTTAATTAAAAATGGAATGCACCACCATAATATACTGCCGGGGGCTTAGATATTATTTAATATATGCGTGTCTCTCCTCATCAAGCCCCCTTTCTCTTTAAATACCTCTGCAGCCTTTCCTATAATCTTCATCCTCAGCTCCCTCCAAACTTTATACACATCTTTCTCTTTCTCTCTGTCCACCTTTATATATATATATATATATATATTATCAGTTATCATAGCATATTAAATGGCAAAACCTGCGATGAAAAGTATGGGTTTTCCGATGGTACTTCTCAGGCTAGTAAAATGGCTGTTGTACAGACTCCTAGCGAACTCATGTTACAGAGCTGCTGTGAAGCTCAAGAACTCAACCACTTCTTTCTTCCACAAAAACCCATCTTTTAAATCTCCCAACAACCACAATTCTCTGTACCCAAATCTCACCAAACATAGGTCTTTTCCCGCCCACCATGATAATTCCCAGAAGACCTTTGTCTGCGATATCCAGGGAGCTCTGCTGAGAACCCAATCTTTCTTCCCATTCTTCATGCTCGTGGCCTTCGAAGGCGGGAGCATATTCAGAGCCTTCTTCCTGCTCCTTTCGTCCCCGTTTCTTTGGTTCCTGGATTTCGAGCTCAAGCTCAGACTCATGATCTTCATAACCTTCTGTGGGCTGAGGTTGAAGGACATGGAAACTGTTGGAAGGGCTGTCTTGCCTAAGTTTTACCTCGAAAACCTTAACTTTCACGTCTATCAAGTGATGGCTTCGTGTGGTACTAAGATGGTGTTCACGAGCGTGCCCAGAGTGATGGTTGAAGGGTTCTTGAAAGAGTATTTGAGCGTTGATGATGTGAAGGGGACAGAGCTTCATGTTGTTGGGAATTTCTTTACTGGTCTGGTTTCTGGTTCTGGGCTGCTTGTGAAGCATAGGGCTTTGAAACAAGTGTTTGGGGAGAAGAGACCTCATATTGGGATTGGTACTTCAACATTTCATGACCATCTTTTCATCTCCCCTTGCCAGGTAATATTTTCAAGGATTGTTTATATTTTAATTTCTTTAAATTATTTGTCAATTTATTTAAATTCCAGGACAATAACGACACTTTTGGTCCCTGAACTGTTTCACTTTTAAAATCTGATCCTTGTAAATTAATTTAAACAAATTCATTAGCACCTTAATTGTTCATAATGTGTCAATCCAAGAACTTTCTGGTTTAATGACATCACTATGACTCTTCCAAACGGAAGGTCACTAGTTCGAGAGAGTTTGACAGCAGATCAGAGACTTGGGTAATCATATAACACTAAGGATTGAAAGTGTAACATAACTCAATTAAGGTACTAAATATGTTTAAATTAATTAACATGAATCAAAATTTTAAAAATAAAATAATTCAGGAACTAAAAATGTTTTTTAAAAAAATATTATTATTATATTTTTAGAGCAATTAAAAATTGTGTCCAGTAAAACACGTGTTGATAGTAATTGAGGTTAATTTTTAGTAGTACTATAGCATCTTACGTTAATGAGCTCAAATAATTAATTAAGGACTTAAAAAGTGCACAGGTGTATTATTGTTATTGTGACGGCAAAGTTAGGTATATGTTTCAGTTTCGATCACTTGTTGCAACTTGCATGTCGTACTATGTACTATATTGGTGTCTTAAACTCGTTGACCCTACGTACTAAGGGCTATTACTATTATGAGTTATACTGATGTACTATAAATGCAAAAAAATATAAGGTATACTTTCTTTTGGGGGAAAAAAAATCCCATGTACTAGAGTGAAAATCTTATTTCTCAATAAAAAGTTAAGGATAAAATATTTAAGACAAACTTTCTTATAAAATTCTCCGATCCTTTTTCATGAGATGAATCAGATTTTTTATAAGTACTTGTCTAAATTATATAGTCAACAATGACACGATCCCTACAAAATTTATGTGTAAGACATCGTAATTAAGAATGATACTAAAGTTGTTGCGTCTATGTTGGACCAGGAAGCTTACGTGGTGAGCAGAGAAGAGGACAGCAAGGCAGGCTCAGTAATGCCAAGAGAAAAGTATCCAAAGCCTCTTGTATTCCATGATGGAAGGCTAGCATTCTTGCCCACACCCCTAGCAACCTTGGCCATGTTCATCTGGATTCCATTCGGTATACCCTTAGCAATCTTCAGGATATTCATTGGGTTCTTACCCTACAAGGCAGCAACCTTCCTGGGCAGCTCAACTGGTTTAAACGTGAGAGTAATTGGGACAGACCCTCCAAGATCACAAAATGGGAAAGGGGTTCTCTATGTGTGCACTCATAGGACCCTCCTAGACCCAGTTTTCCTAAGCATAATCTTAAACAAGCCCTTAACAGCAGTGACATATAGCCTGAGCAGAATGTCTGAGATAATTGCACCAATCAAGACTGTGAGGCTAACCAGAGATAGAGCCCAGGATGGGGAGAAAATGCAGGAAATGTTAAGTCTTGGGGACTTGGTGGTTTGCCCTGAAGGGACAACATGCAGGGAGCCTTATCTGTTAAGGTTTAGCTCACTGTTTGCTGAGCTGGCGGACGAGATTGTCCCGGTGGCTATTGACACCAGTGTTGGCATGTTTTACGGGACCACTGCTAGCGGGCTCAAGTGCCTGGACCCGTTCTTTTTTATGATGAACCCCGTGCCAACTTATCGGATAAAGATCCTCGAGAAGGTGCCCCGAGAGCTGACGTGTGCCGGTGGGAAGTCTAGCTTTGAGGTGGCTAATTACATACAGAGACAACTGGGTGAGGCCTTGGGGTTTGAGTGCACCACTCTCACCAGAAGAGACAAGTATTTGATGCTGGCTGGGAATGAAGGGATTGTTCAAAATAAAAAGAAAGATTGATGATTTCTAACTCTAAATATGAAATTCTTATTATTATTCTTCTTCTTTTACCATGTTATTAAAAAATAAGATGTTTTGTAATCTATTGATAATTGTCACCTAAGTGACTAAGCTACTACTGTATATTTCATTTTTTTGTAATGTTAATTCTATAGTAGCAAGGTTTTACTGTAAAGAGATGTAGTTTTATTTTTCTTTACTATTCAATATTCATAAAATTAATAATATATACACATATATAGAGAGAGCCAATGGCTTTGTGATCTAGTAGCCCAAAGTAGCTCTCCCAAATGGGAAGTTATGAGTTCAATTTGGTATTGATTTTTCGTGTTTTAGTAGGTTGAGAAAGTAGTTATGAACATATTTTACATTGTAACAGAGTCAGTAGTACTAAAAAAAATACAGAGAATAAAAAAATACAAAGAGAGAATTTAGGACAAAGCTATTTAAATAAAATATAAAGAATTGTGTTACAAGGACAGAAGTTGTTCACTAAAATTATTAACTATATTAATATAAGTAGATTTTTTTAATGCGGGATGAGTTCGACCAATTCATAATATGTGATTGAATTTTATTGCCATGTCAAAAAGTTTTTGATCTAAAAAAATATAAGTTGCCCATGTAACTTTATCCAAATATAAATGTGTATTATGATTTTCAACTACTCCACTTAGACGGGTATATTGTACATTCTGTAATTTGTCAAGGTACAAAATTTACTGCGTCCCCCCCCCCCCCCCCCCCCTCCCCAAGAGTACTATATATAGTATTGTTTAATTTATTGTAATTGTAAAAAAGAAAAATCATAATTTCATTAGTTTTAAACGAAGTATTCATCATGTGTTAATATTATAATTACGTGACCAGCAGATAGGGACAAATTTTTACGCACAAGAGATTTGTTCACTTTGAACATAATTTATATATTGTCACTGTCAATGTTTGAACCTTGACCTCTTTTCCTAAGTCCGTGGTCGGTGCGTCCATCAAAAGTGAAAAACTCTCATTATCTAAATGTTCCTAAAAGTAGATATTAAGTTTCATTTAAGTTACAAAAATCAATTAAATATATAGTTTAAAAATCTTCACATAAAATAATATCTAATATGACCGTCCCCTTCAATTAGGAAGCAAATATCTTTAATTTTCTGTCAAGTCCTTATTGGCTACAAAATCAAAATCAAAATCAATTGAATGAACGGGTGTGGAGTGGACAACACATGAGCTGATGAGGTTAATTGAATCATTCAACTACTTAAATGGCAATTATTTGTAATCTCAAAAGATAAATGTTTTTGCCATGTCTGATCATTTATTTTTAGAAATATTCTTTTGAGACAGGCTTTTAACTAATTTGATGTATGTCAATTGTCAAGAAAGATTATCCAAAATGCTCTAAACGAAAAATCTTTCTACACAGGATCATAAGCAATAATGTATAATTGTATATATTCGTTGATTTTCAGAAGTCCCTAGATTAAACAGTGATTTAACATGAAATATGACAGAGGCTCCATTTAGGTAACGTTTTCGTAGTTAAACGACAAAATGGAGCAAAAAAAAAAAAAAAATAGTTAGGAGACTTTTACGGATAAATCGTAATAATCAAGAGACCCCAGCGATATAATCTCTATATTTTATTATCGTTCACAAATTATAATAAAATAACACCTGAATTAGTTTTATTATAATAATAAAAAAATATGATCATTTAATGCCATGCAGACAAGCTAAGTATGACAATATGGTGAGTTGTTTAGGCCACAGAATCCAAGCTAGATATCAATTAATTTCAATATTTTGTTTTTGGCAATTTAATTAAATGACTGAAATGATGTAGATTTGATTTTAGATGAATGATCCAAGAAGCTCATCAATATGAATTGAGATAGCATCCTTAACTAAGTATAGTGTCCATGTGGAACATTATAAAATATCCTTTAAAAGGTTTTTATCACAACATCAATCTTAATATGTATGTGTTCTTTCAATTCCCTTCTAGAGTTCTAGGTAAACAAGCAACTAATTAATTAATTACAAGAAGATACCCGTATGAGCAGCTCAACTGATCACAGAGGTGAAACTTTGGAAGAATGACCAGGGATCGAGTCTCACCAGCGGCAGTATGGGAGCAACTTCTCAAAGTGAGGGGGGTTCCTTGTGCGCAGTGAGCACATGTCTAGCCTCTGTGGTTCATGTTCAGTTGAGTTACCATGATTTACCTCCTCTCAAATGCTCTGTCGGGTTGGGTACTGCGCACAGGTCTAGCCTCTGTGGTTCATGTTCAGTTGAGTTACCATGATTTACCTCCTCTCAAATGCTCTGTCGGGTTGGGAGGTCTAACCTCTGTGGTTCATGTTCAGTTGATGCAGCAAATATATATTGTTCCCTACAAGAAATGTATACCCGATCACATAACTAATTTTTTACGATTAATTTTATATTTAGTTTTCAATTATAATGATATTTAGTTGAGTTTTAAATTTAGTCTTTAACAACATTTTTTCTTAACTTTGACCTAAATTTCAAATTTAATCCTGTCTTACTAATCCCGCCTTATCTCCCATGAAATTCAAAGACTAAGAGTTGTATTCAATTATGACTTTTATGATTTTTTTAAAAGACTTTAATTTAAAAATCTAATGGTATTAGTCGCATGAATGTAATAAAAAATCTAGAGACGGGGTGAAGGTGTTGAATAGACTTTTTAAAACCTTTTTAAATAAATAAATTTATCAAAGTGTTTATAGCAGAAGTCATGCAATTGCCAATTTTTGTTTGTAGTTTGAAAAACTTTTTGCAAATTATATGGAATTGAAATTGTACATGTGTGTTTTGGCTTGATCAAACAATAAAGTAAATGAGTAATTAACACCGCAACAACTGAAAAGTTAACTTTCGCACTAATTGCAAACCAAGATGATGTTATCGCATCTGTGCATGTTTTTATAGCTTTTCTGATTCATTTTAAAAACAAAGTTATTGAATCGTGCTCATTTATTACTTATTTTTCCTTGCTTTCTCGTTAGATTATGGTTTTACACTTGTTTTGAATGCCTTACGATGTTTGGTAGTGTTTTTTCACCATTACAGGCTAAGTGTAAGAGCAAGGGAAGAATTTCAATCACGAAATGATCAAAAGAGGAAGAAGTCGAAGCATCAACAATTCGACGCGTCGAAAAATTCCAGTAGCTTCAAGGATCGCCTAGTTCGGAGGCTCGACGCGTCGAGATCGTGGAAGGCTGCTATTTTGGAACCTTCCTAAATTGATGCCATCGGGTTTATACTATAAAAAGATCATCTTCCATCAACTCTAGGGCACTTCTTTTTCCAGATTGTGGTGTTTTGAAGGCAATCAAGAGCAAAGCACAAAGAGGACCAATTTGAAGATTTACAACTAGCTTTGGAATAGAGAACTGGCTAGAAAGATTCTGGAGAACTCTTTCACTCTTTCTCTTGTTCCTTTTGTTATTTGTTCATCTTTAAACATTGTATTGACTGTTATTATGACCATGAGTGGCTAAAACCCTTAGGGATTCTTGGGAGAATTTGTTTATGAACCTATGTGTCTAGTTCGTTAATTTCTTAATATATTTATGTTTGATTTTATGATCTGTGTTGTAATCTTGATTTAATCTGTTGTTGTTGGTAATTAGTGGCCACAGTTACTAGCTTCATAGCCATGTTTGTGTCACCAATGGGAGTTGGGGCATAAATTAGGGCACACACGATTGCACCTAATGGTTGGACCTTGGGAAATGGGAACTTATTAGGGGAAGTTTATTCTATATTGTTGCTCACCGGGAGATGGTAGTACTTAGGAATAACTGAATGCTAATATTCGATCTTATTGGGTGTTTAAGCCATGGGAGTGGAAATTCACTAGGAATAGAGATTACGGGAGTAATTCGATTCCACTTTGCATTCCCACACAAATCTTAATTCCAAACTAAATATTACAAACGATAATTGGCACTAGGTGATTAAACATTGTGATCCCAGGAATCCTATTTTGCTCTATTGTTTACGAAACTTTGATATTTGTTTTATTTCTTGCTTGTTATTTTATGCAACCAACCAACCTTTAAGTTTCGATCAAACTAGTTCCATATGAGTAACCTAGTAGCTAGTGATTAGTACCTCATCTCCCTGTGGCTCGACAATCCGAATACTCCGGATATTATTTGTTTGTCCAAATTACCGCAATCACAAGACAACTAAGTTACTAGCTATTATCCTAGACAATCTCTAGAATGATTTTTTTTCACCAAGATGCATGTTCTTCACTATACTAAGTTGCCATAAGAGAATATCACCAACCTCTTAGTCACAAAACAAAGGGATTTTGTCCTAACAAAAATTAGACTAAATCTAGATGATTCATTGAAGTTTAGATTGCTAAAAATGATTAATGGCTATTAGTTGTACTCGTTATGCTTGAACAACTTCTTTCTCTTTTTCTAATTTCAGGAAGAACTTTATATAGCTAAGGAGCCAAAAATTCAAACGGCTTTGAATCTTTCTATTGGAGCACTCTTTAGAAAATGCTACTGTATACTATCTCAACCTGCTAATAACGTCTCCACTGAAGCTTAAACTTACACCGCTAATAACGCCTCCACTGAGGCTCGAACTTACACCCTTCCAAATGGAAGTCTAACCCGGATACCATTAGACCACATAGGGGTTAGAAAATTTTTCTTTATTTCTTCTATTTCTACTTTTTTTTTTTCATTCCTCGTTTTCAATTCTTTGTTTTCTGTTTAAAAAACTTGTATACAAACATTCATTTTTTTAAATTTTATTTTTTAGGCTAACATTATAAAATTAACACACATTTAGTTTTGAGTGATTTTTAGACCTTATATTTAAAATATTTTTGAATAAATTTGGTTTAAATGTAATAAATATAATTTTTACTTTTATGTATAATATATGTAAGATTTTTATATTTGATATCTGAACCAAATTTATATTGGTATATAACATAACTAAAAATATATCCAAACCAATAATAAGTTCACCAAAAAATTAGTTTAGATAATATTAATATTTTTTGAGCTAATGTTTAAATTATTTTTTGATATATTCATTTGAATGAAATGCATATAAATGATTTTTACTTTAAAATCTAATATATGTGGAGTTTATATTTGATATCCGAATCAAACTTATATTACGATATAACATAACTAAAAC